CATATTACAGTTTTTTTTTTTTTTTTTTTTTTTTTTAAGAGAGAATGTGGGGAGAAGGAGGTGGAGGGAAGAAATCTTTTCAAGGTCCCAGAAGTAATCAGAACATTTTTGGTAGACCACAAGTTAGAGACAAAACCTGGCAAATTTTAAATGGATGGATTTAACATTGTCTTCTTTTGAAAACTCTAGCAACATCTGAATTTAAATGAAAATATTAAAGGGAACTTAGAAATATGATTTGCGCTTTAGGTGCACCAGGTCATCCCTTTGTCTGTGTATTGAGATTCCTACCTGGGAACATCATCTAAAACGACCAGAGTAGCAATAGTTAATCATAGGAAGTAAGGATTATGGGGTAATCTTAACTGGAGATGAGAAAATAAGGATAGCAAATACTGATTACAATGCCCAGGATCTTCCATATCAGTATATGGAAGTATATCTGAACAATAACTTTCTAAAATGTAAGCAAATTTGATTTCCTCTAGTGAAAAATGAAAGCTTTAATTGGAAAGTAGAAATTCTTTAAATATTTTTGCAGAAAATTCAGATTTCTGTCAAAAATACAGTTTGGTGTTTGTTTTTTTTTTTTTAAACCAATTTTAATTATCAATGATAATTAAAAGTTCCCTTCTTATAAATTCCAGTAGAAAAAAAGAGGAAAAAACCCAAAAGGGCATATACAGGGAAAACTGGAAGAAACACGTTTGAAGTTTTCTGGCCAAACATCTTCATAAATGGAATACGTTTTGATTATTTTTTAATCCATATTTTCTTGCTTGAAATTTCTAAAACTTGTCATGCTTCTGTAATTTAACCTTAAGAAACTTAATCTGGTTATACTGAAAGACAAAGGGTACACAGAGAAACATACCTCAAAAGGTAACTAACTTCTGCAACACTGACCTCATTTTGTTAAATTCCATGATTAATAGCTGAATTCTGTTACAACAGCATTTTTTTAAGTGGTGTAATTAGTAAATAATGATTAAGAATAAAGCTCTTTATGACATATTTATGGAAGCTGTCTCTAAATAAGAAAATTTTTACAGGTATGATCATTCAAATTAATTAAAAGGGAAGGAGCCACTACTAAATTATATCCTTTATATTACACAGGCTAAAAAACCACCCCAAAACACAACTGAGATACCTGTACGAGGAAATGAGCACCATTTTGAAGAAAAGCATCATTTCTTATTGGTATATTTAAAGTATCTTGCGTTTTTCCTTCTGGAAACATGAGAATGCTTCTTCTAGACATATTTAGAATGCCATCTTTCGCTCTCTCAGGATCCAGAGCTCCAGCTGGAATATAAAGTGCAGTATAAACCAACTGCACGTCTCCAACTGTTCCTCTCTCCCTTGCAAAACTCAAGGATAAAAAGCGTCCCGCTGGATTACTTTCAATCTTCTGATTCTCCAAAGGATAAAACCTTATGAGGCCATAAACATCATCACTGTCCTGAATATAAAACAGAAGCTGCAAAAGAGAAAACAGCATCACTCACCCTACGCTACAGTTACTATATGCCATAGTTTTCATGCTTTCACAAAAGCATGTCCTGACTGTCACCATACATTTTTCTCCTTAGTGAGCTGGCACTCAAGAAAGAAATCAGACTGACAGCCCCGAAGTATTCTTTGTACACAAGCAGCACAGCACTGACAGTGGCAACTTTCCCACTATGCATCATCCATGTGCCAGCATGAGCTCTGAATAACTGATTTTTTGCTTCAGCAGCCAAAGTGAATAATTTAGAAATGTTTCAGATTGTGAAAAATTTCATTTTATTCAACAAGTTCATTCCAATCACTTCAGAGAATGACAAAGCAGCGACTCAAGACACAAACTGTCAGCAATGCTAGCCACCCTTTCTTTAACAGTTCAAAGGTTACAGTCTTAATCACCAACCCTTCCTCTGGTTACTCTGTGTAGAACATTCCAATAATCATTAAGACAGCAAATGAGCAAGTGAAAAAAATCTTTCCTGCCTTCTCTTAGCAAGCACTTAGGCAATGATATATATGTTGGGACTAATCTAAGATGAATGATACGGTACTAAAACTGGGTTTGTGTACTATACTAAGCCAAATACTTTGGATATGGATCAATATACTAAGATTATATTCATTAATTTGTTTGATTTATATCAACCCCAAACCTTTTAGCCAGTTTAGGCAATCAATCTATGTTATCAGAACTGGTAGAGTCTCTAATTATTACTGATTATTCCTCCTCTGCTCCGCTCTGTGAGACCCCCCTGCAGGGCTGGGTCCAGCTCTGGGGCACCAACAGCAGAAGGACACGGACCTGCTGGAGCGGGGCCAGAGGAGGCCACGGAGATGCTGGGGGGGCTGGAGCCCCCCCTGTGAGGACAGGCTGAGAGTTGGGGGGTTCAGCTGGAGGAGAGAAGGCTCCGGGGAGACCTTAGAGCGGCCCCCAGGGCTGAAAGGGGCTGCAGGAACAGGGTGGGAACTCTTGATTGGTGATGTAGGGATAGGACGAGGGGAAATGCTTTTAAACTGAAAGAGGGCAGATTTAGATTAGATGTGAGGACGAAATTCTCCCCTGTGCAGGGGGTGAGGCTCTGGCACAGGTTTCCCAGAGCAGCTGTGGCTGCCCCCTCCCTGGAAGGGTTCAAGGCCAGGTTGGACGGGGCTTTGGGCAACCTGGGCTGGTGGGAGGTGGCCCTGCTCGGGACAGGGGGGTGGGACTGGGTGGTCTTTAAGGTCCCTTCGAACCCAAATCATTCTATAACTCTATGACTCTATGATTATTACCTTCTCCATAAAAATTCTAAAAGCAAACTTACCTCAGATGGTTCACTGACTTCTGCACCTCCTTGTATTGTATGAGCTAAGAGTTTCAGAAGATAGGGCTCTGCCTCTTCTGGGATATCATCATCAATAATGTTCAGAGGAAGTGTCACCAGCATCTGTCCTTGATCAAAACATATCTCCCCAGTCTCTGGAACGAGGTCTGCAGTCACAGGCGAAGGATCACTGCTATTTCGGATTATAACCCAGGTAACAGAAACATTTCCATGTGTTCCACCATTTCGTACAATCGTGATCTCTTCAAACCTACGGTTTTGAGTCAAAACAAAAACCCTCAATATAAAATCATAATTAATATTGGCTTGATTGGCTATCAATTCCCTGAAATATTTACACTGACTTAAGTGGAATAAATGTTAACTGCTGCAACTGAGATTTGAGTCAGGGCTTAAAGTCTGTGAGGGTATAACACACATATAAGACTTCTCTTAGAGCACTTATTCATGAGCTCTCTGTAATGCCTCTAAAGATATTTGTTAGAAATTATTTTGTTTACAGAGCCAAAGATACGGAGAAGTGAAGACTTGGCATGCTTTACATTTGTCTTGAGAAATAAATGTCAGATTTCAGAAAACCTTTTCTCTATTAACTTCCTACACCATTTTATAAACTATATCAAAATACAGTTGACAGGCATGAAAATTTAAATTATTCCAAATCAGCTATTTGCTTCCGGACTGAAATATTAACGACATTTGTGATACTGGGAATGTCATACTTCCTGCATCTGACAAGCATGTGACTACAACAAAACGTTTGGGAATCATGATTTATAAAAACGTAGAAAGCAAGATTTCTTTAAAGTGTATAGGAAATGAAGATGAATACTGAAGTGCTGGGCTATACATACTACAAAATATTATTTCAAAATTGCTTGTAGTATGATGGCTTCATGTATCACCTGTTTCTCCGGGGATGAACTACTATCAGTAGCTAGCAGTGGACATTTTTATTGAGACTCTCAGTATTGTGTATCGGTCCTGCCTGTAAGATTTCTACAGAGCTTTCATTTTCACCTCTCTAAAATTACAAATATTTAACTTATTTTTAAGTTTTGGGTAAGTATTTCATGGGAGATACTCAACAACTTTTTTTTTTTTTTTTTTTTTTTTTTTTTATTTTATATATCTAGTAAATAAAAAGATTTACCAGGGAAACAAGCCAGAAATATATTCCCCACTTGTATGAACTGGTGTGTGGCAGCATCACAACTTCATTGATTCTGCCTTCAGATTAAGGGTTTTTCAACATTCTGACAATGTGATTAAATACTTACAGTTTTCATGTACAGTTTACAAATATTAAAATACTTCCTGCATAATTAGACATTCCCACTTCCTTGAAATCTTTGTAGATATGTTTGATAATAATAAAAATACAGTAAGTGATTTCTACATTATATTTTCAGTAGTGATTTTATAAGTATTTTCAGTGAAATACTAAGGATGCTTAACAGTACCAAACAAATCTCTTAAATGGTTTGGATACGAGTTTTGAAGATCTGCAGTACCTTGAAATTTGGTCTTCATCAATGATAACAGTCTGAGCAAACAGGATACTGTTGATTGACAGTACCCCATAGGGTTTATCATTCGGTTGGATGGTGACATGAACAACTGATGGATTAACCAAAACAGCATCTCCCTGCAAAGTGTCTTTAAGAAGCATAATCTGAAAGGTCTCAGCAATTTCTGGTATGGCATCATCGAGGATCTTAAATTTCAGATGTGTTTCATGAACTAGAGGTGGGAAGACAATAGTTGTATTTGGCTGTAGATCTAGGAAGTCTACGTTAGGCTGCGCGTGTGCTGTTGAATTCCCCGTTATGATGGCGTAACTGACAGAGACTTCATGTTCATCAGGTCCAACTAATCTTCCACTGACATCCTTACCACGAACCACTTGAATTGTCACCACACCAACTTCCTCAGGCACCATATAAGCACTCTGAACAAAACGCACAGGACTGTCATTTTTCTTAATATTAATCTGAACAGAATCTTTTGTGTGGTTGATTTCAGCTCCTCCTTCCACGCTCTTCAGATGAACAACGAACAATTCGTCATTTTCAGGTATCTGGAAAAACAGTATTAGCAGCTGGGTGTAAGTAATATTTCAAATACATGCAGAACACTCTTATTGAGAAATATGTTTTATACATTTGACGGAAAAGGGAAAATAACACAAACTTGACAATTCATTTCATGCTAAAACAAACAGGAGCGAAGTCTCACTTTTAACTTTGGTTGAAAATACCTTCTCAAAATTGAACGTTTCCATTTTCTAAAACAAACTTCTTGCTCTGGCAATATGGAACGGCAGAAAGCCAAACAAAAGCAAAACAAAAACAGGCAAGAACCAGAAAAGGCTGGATCTTTCCAATTTAAGACTATGAGGAGATCCAAATTCTGCTTTAGGAAGCCATCTTTATTTGGAAACATTCTTCCCAGTTATTTAGATTTACATCTTGATTTTCTGATATTCATACTGACTGACCTCTATGGATGCCTGAGAGAATATAGGAACAACTTATGGACACAACCTACCTCGGCCCATCTGTTCGTATACAAATGGAAAAGGAACACTTCGTATGTTCAGACAGACACACATCCCCAAAGAAAATTTCTGTCACAGATCTGAGAAAGTGTTTTCCGGTGCTTAAAAATTATTTAGGCTTTGGCACTTCTACAAAATGACTGATTAGAACTACAATTTAGTTTTAGCTATTTCTTCTCCCATACCTGATGCAGCAAGACAAAAGAACGGCTTATAAAGCATAAATTAATGAACCTAAGGATGAGATTTTTGCTTTATATTGCTACATTTTATTCCCGAAATCCTGATTTTCTAAACCTGTTTAACTGAAAAATATGACTATTTTATTAATATATATAGGTAGAAAGTAAATATTTTAAAATTATTTATGATCTTTGCATCTCATTCTAGCTGCGGACTCCTGGAGACTGGTATTCTGTGAGGACAAAATTATTTTTTGCTAAGGGTGATACTCTGTTATAAAGTTGACAAATTCTTTTCATGCACTTTTGATCACTGAGCTAAAAAAGTTCTGAAAACCCTGCTGTCCAATATTTCTTCTCTTTCACACTCATTTGTTAATTGGCCACCCTCAGATCCTTTTCGAGGACTGAAAGAGTGGGCACGCAGTTGCCTTTACAGCTGATGCCAATTCTGTCCCTTGTTTGGCTTGTGGCACTTAAACTTGTATAATATTGTTGACTGCTGCAGGTTTTTTTGTCAACGTGAGATCTGGAAGCTCTCAGTCACCTCTGTCCTATACTGAGACAAAACACAATCATTTTACCTTATTAGAATAGATGTTAACTTATGTTTTATTTAGTTCACTGATTAATATACAATCGTGCAGCATAAAAACATAACATTTAGGTGAGAGCCAAGATGTATCCACAATTGTAGTTGTAGTTTACATCTTAGTATCTCATATAAATGTCACATTCTTGACTTCTTAATGGCATCGTGATTGATCTGTAAAAGTCCCAGTCAAACTTCAAAGACAACACTATAAAAGATTTCCAGTGCTGCCTCGCCTCTTTCATTTTCTCTTAACAAAGTTTTCATTATTGCTCACTAAAAAAGGAAATGTATACAATAAAATTACTGCAAATGTAGTGCTGTGATCAGATCTGCAGTCCCCAAATTTCTGCAGGAAAAGGGTTACTCCACTCAAAAAAATACTTGTTGCGTTGTTTTTCTTCAATTCAGACCCTAAAAGCTCAAACTAAGTTCTGAGAATAACACTGGATTCTTGTGAATTCCATCAGCATCAATAAAGATTTTTTAACTCAAAATTAACCTTTCATGTATGCCTGTTGAAGACTTTAACTGAGTGGACCAGCCACAGTTATACAGACTAAATTCTGAGAAACAGAGTATTTCTCAGAGGAAAAAAACCCCACACCCTCCCCAAAAGCCTAATGATTTATTTCTGTGTATAAGCTAACAGAAATATGAAAAAAAAAAAATTGCTTTAAAGTTGCTCATCTCTGAGGGAGGCACTTTTTTGTTATTTTTTTCTTGTGAATTTCCATATTTACTTATTTTGGTATCTCTATTTTCCCTCTCAGTCCCATTATAAATTACAAAACAAAACAAAAAAAAACAAACACCACAAGAAAAAAAGCGTAGGAAAAATGAAAATAACAGATTGAAAAGTAGAAGACTATGTTTTGTTTACTCTGACGCAGAAAGAAAGGCTCACAACATAGAAACATCTTCTTCTGAAAGACCAATCTAAAAATTGTAAATTTTTAATTATCACATAACGGTTATGCTCTTCACAAGATTGCCGTCTAGGAATCTTATCTATTTTTAGTATTTTTAAAAAATACGTTTCTATCTTGAAACATATCTATATAAAACCATACAAAATTTGTCAATCTATCTTTTCCCTGTGAATATTCAATTCAGTTGCATTCGTACTTTAGTGGCAAACATAACATGTCTGCTCTTCACACGAGGGAGAGCCAACAAAATTAACAAAGAGTAAATTGGATTCTTATGCACCTTTAACTGAAAGCAGAAGAACTGCACAGGCATCACTGAGGATGTAATCAAAACTGCATCATGTAAGCAATGTTATAATTAGGTTCTTTTTGCTTAAACAATTAATAAAGACAGAAATAAAGCCTGAGTTCATGATGCAAACATAGCCTGATTTTGCAAGGTAGACAATCAGAAGCAAGCAGAGCACTTTTAAAAAGAAATACAGAAATGTTAAATATGGAAAGAACAGACTAATAGATAAACCTATATATAGTTCAAGAACATCATCCTTGGCCATACAACAAGGACCTCTGTATTCCATCTGAAAAAAAAAAAAAAAAAGTATAATGCTTTCCTGATTGTTTATACATTTACTGCAGCAGCACCTAACAAGTCTAGCCAGAGCAGCCAGGATATGTTCAGAAACTAAAAATATTCACTGATGAGAATTACAGAGATAGCATTAGAAGGAGTAAAAATGAGAGCCCACAGAGCCAAAATTTAACAACGCTTTATTAAGTAGAAACGCTTTTAACCTCATTTAAACCCAGCATTTTTGTGACTTACTACTCCAAGTCTCTCCAGAAGAGCAGTCAACCTTCTACATAAACAAACCAAAAATGAAGTCGGCTTGTTCTTACCTCATCATCAAGCACTGTTAAATTATAAATCAGCATTGATCTCCCAGGGGTAAATGTAATATTACCCCTAGCTGGACTTAAGTCTTCTTCGGCTGGGTTTGGTCCATCTTCTATCTGCAAAAAATTGATTTTTGCAATAAGAAATATATAAAACAGGAGTACTAATCGAATAAAAGTACAATAATCAATATACAGTTTGTGACACACATAACAAACGACTGTTCAGTCATCTCCTGCTCACAGGCACACGCATTCAGTTGTGAAAATCTGCTCTTTTTTGGCAGATGGAGTAAGTCAGAGTAACCACTCTGAAGAAATGATGCATTGCCAGAAAAAGAAAACTCCTTCCGTAGAGACCTATGAGGACTCTGGTATCTACTGATGTATAACTGACTCTTTTACATAACAGAAAGGATATGCATTCTAATTTAATTTAAATCACTAATATTTCATATTAGATTCCAAGATAAAAGAAGAGCAGTTACTGGTTTTGTGTCGTTTTTATCTTGACCCGTGATATTAAGGAAATTACAGTTAATACTAAAGCTGAAAAGACTAAGAAGACCCTTGGAGGCAATATGTTGGGATTTTTTAAACAATGTTGTAAATTATATATAATTTATACATATATATATAATAATATATATACTATATTATATATACACACATATATAAAATGTATATAAACTACACTGTGAGATGGACCTGATTAATTGTCCAGATAGTAAAATTTACTGAGCCTTAAAAAACCCCCCCAAGATCTGCAATAAATTACACAGTGAATCCGATTCTATACATTAACTATACAGATTCTATTTAGTATGCAGTAAAACGCAGTACAAATCTTTTGAGATTTTGACAGGTCTAGATTAAACCCTTGATGACATATGAGGCGATATAAGCCAGACAACTGATAAAGAAATATCCATATGAAAGAATTTATATGTAATTTTAAGGTATGCAATAGAATCTGATATCGAGGGAAAACAAACAAACAAACAAACAAACAAAAAAAACCCCACCAAACAATAAAGGGAATAACTATATCACATTGAAATCAAGTACATAAAATAACGGCCTAAATATTCAACATGAGTAATTATCCTGAAAGGTTTAATTTCCTCAGAATTCAAACTGCAGTCTGACAGATAAAGGATTTCACTAAATACTGAGCTCTGTATGTTCAAAATTGGCACAAGCATTAAAGACTCGCTCAGATGCTTATTAGTAAAATATAGATAAATTTTGAAGAAATATAAAATAACACATTTTCACACATGTAATACATATTTTTTACTAAGAATGCCAATTAATGCTGCCTCAAATATCTTCCTAAATGACAGAGGATACTAATTTTTCTTTAGTATCTCTTCATTTTTTCTGAAATTAAACAGTCAGATAATTAAAGTATTTTCCAGTTGACAGGTTGTATCTTTCCATTTTATGAAACAGATTTAACAAATGTAGACATAGGTATTCTGTTCCTCTTTCAATTTTATAAACACTGTGATAAATTACAATTATGGCCTCACAGTTTCATCCAACAGATTAAGGTATGAAGCTTTTTTGATAAACTCACCTCAAAAGTTACGATGACCGTCCCATAGGTTCCTCTCTCCCTAATTAGAGTGAGAGGCACAAACTCATTTCTGCCCCTGGGCTCATTCACTGTGATTAAGGCAGACTAATGAGGAAGAAAAGGGACAGGCAATCAGGCACAGATCAAATATCACAGCAGAGGAAGAAACTGTTACCATAGAAATACCAAACTCCCACAGACAAATTAATCCAATCTGCAAACCAGTCCACTGATGGCATACATTTCCTAGCAACCAATTAGTTCAGCTAATAAAGAGCTCAAAAAATTTCAGATTAAAAAATTATAAATTATGCAAGTAGAGTGTTTTGGTTTTGTCTAAATTAATGTAGTCAATATACACAAAGCCCTGGCACATTAGCAGTGGTATTTATAGGAGCTCCTAACCCCACTGAAAATAGATTTTTCTCCATTAAAAAGTCATTTATTAAATAACCAGCTATAAATGGACTCTGTCTATCAAACTGTTGTAGCTAAAAGATTTCAAAGAATTACACCAATTCAGGGAGGAGCATGGCTTAGTACTGTGGTGCTAAAAATTTCTCATGTTCTCGTGCTTTTTCAGGGATGTCCTCTAGGAAGAGGCATGGTTTCTCTTTCTCCTAACACAAACCGTATTATTGCAGATATCCTCCACGCCACTAGCGTCACACCAGTGTCTTACCACAGAAGGCAGCGTACAGTGCATCATGATGCTGTTCTCTCAGCTCAAAAGTATAAAATTGCTCACTAAAGATGGGAAAAAGTATATATCCTCAAGATTTCCAAATCACATCTTCAACTTTCCTGTGGTATTAGTCCTCACTTCTTCCCTACAATCTTTAGATCCTGACTTACAGATGAGGGGAAGTGGGACGGAACAGCTTTAAAAATTTTTATATTAGGACGAGCAACACAGATATTCATCTAAGCGCGAAGGTCTCAAGTCTGTGTCTTAACACCTAAAAGCATATAGAAGTATTAAAGCTGTCTACATGTGTCAATTACATACATATGTATGAATTACCTCTAGAGATCTTTTCAAAGGTGTAACTCAGAATCAGTTTTCAAGGGATTCAGTTGAATAACTAACCAGCATCTCTGACAGTTTCACTTTTATGTTTTCTAAAATTTTCACATATACCATATAAAAAGCCATACCATGTTAAAGGAAATTATTCCAAAGGCATTGTCATTTGATAAGATTGTTACAGTGACAGATTTGGGTGAGCCAAGCTTTATCGTTGCGGATGGTTTCTAAAATTAACAAAACAAAATAAGATGTTAAGTATGGTAACAGGCAAAAAACACACATTTTGATTTTGCTGTCTTTTTAAGAGTAAATATTAGCCTATAACAAGATGTATGTCTTCTCATTATATATTACAGTGAAAATTGCTTAGAGCAATAGAATGCACCAAAATCAATCTTACAGAGGAAATACACTGCATACAGTCAACAACAAAGTGCTTGAAAGAAACTTTCTAAATTATTAATCATAGTTTAGCAATCCATTAATGACACCATAGCACTAGGGAACTAGGTATGAAGCATGTAACACCATGCCAGGAGCTCCAAAGCTGTTCTTTTTTTCTTAACTTTTGTATAAAAGAAACTGTGAAGCTATTATACTGAGCTATCAGCTAAAGGAACCAAATTTTTAGTGTTGTAAAAATGAGCTACATTTACAAATCAAAGGAAGAAGGGAGGGAAAATATGAATTTTTATATTCACTGCAAATGTCCCAAGATGTGTAATAAGTGGCAACAAAGTACAAAGTTTATCTTTACTCAACTGACATCAAACTTAGTCATGAACTCCTATCTAAAAAAGTGAATGTGAACCGCTCTCTGTGAGACAGAACAGTATGAAGAGACATTGAATAAGTATTTAAAAAATGGGTTGGTTTTAGGTAAGTCTCATTTACCCTCTGTTTTTGGAGGACTTGGAAGTCATCCTCTTTCTTTTGCTACTTCCACCCTCTCTTACAGGTACGATCTATGCAGGAAAACAGGACAGGCTGAGAGTCTCTTCACAATCTACCTCTTCTGGGCTCTGCTACACCACCAAACGTCCACAGCTGAACGCAGTGGCTGCTGAAGTGTCAGACTATGTCTACGCTGCACAGCAACCTCACACAGAGACACCCACAGGGATGGCAAAACCTCCTAAAGAGCAGTCAGCGCCATCCTGGCTCGCCTCCAGATTTTAGTTCTTACCTATCAGGATTCAGACCGACAAGCAGTACAACTACACCGCAATCCACGGAACACCAGTCACTTCTGTCAGATCACCCACTGGGGTGCAGAGAAATTGAAAAATTGAGACTTACTAGTAGCGTCAAGTAAAACGTGAATGTCTCGTCAGCCTCTGGAAGATCATCATCACAGACAGATATATACACCGTTCGGTTTGTTTCTGTGTCGGGTATAAATGCAGCTGCGTATGTGTCAAAAAAATCTCCTGTGTTTTCGCCATCAATCTGCAATAAATACACAACCGAATGCCATCTTCTTCTTCCCCCACTGCCTTCTATAATATTATTCTGGACACATTTAACACACTTCATACACTCTTTGCACAGAATTCTTCCCGCAGTTTCCCCTGCTGTCATACAGTTAACTTCTAGACAGAAGGTATAGATCATAGCCCCTTGCATCTGTGCTGAGTAACCAGCAAAAAAACCCAAACCAAAATAACCCAATACTTTATTCAGAGCCATTTATGACTGTCTTCCTTGTAACTGGGTATCTTCTGAGTAATGCGCCGTATGACCAGTTTTTCAGCAGAAAAGCTATTCCTAGCAGAGATCTGTATACCTCACAACACCCGACCTGAATCAAACTTACCTTAACTGCCCTCCGCCTTCCTGTCTCACTCTGGGGACAAGAAGGAGCCTGGGAGTTTGACTTAGTTTACCATTTTGATTACCAAAGTTGGAAAGACAAAGTCTTCTGTAACGAAGAGCCCTGTGTTCATTTCAGTCAACAAAAGAAAATCCCACTGATTCTACTGTTAAGTAAAGTGGTTAGAAGAGAGATTACAAGGGCAGTAGTATCAGGACAGCAACAGGTCTAGGTTAAGTTTACAGTTGGAAGCTGAGACTAAATGGAGAAAAGCAGCTGAACCATCATAGCTGCCACACCTGAAATTACCATCCTCATAAGCACTAAATGTCTGAATAAACCATTGTGGAAAAGGTTATTCTTTGTTCGAGAACAGTGAAATTAGAAGTTCAGTGAAGAGAAAACAAAGTAAGGAAGGTATTTTTGCAGCTCTCACCTATCGCTGGACATACAGGCAACTACTTTTTATGTATATGAGCCAACATTAGGCTTAACCAAAAAAGCTCTTACAAAAACAGGCTAAAACATCTTCCTAGAAGAGATGATTAATATATTCATGCTAGAAACAAATTTAGGAGTTTCAGGTCCTTAACAAGGGTGCTAAGTTGCTCAGCTTGCTACACCAGTAAAGAGCACTAGTTTCAAAGTACAATCATATTTTCTCAAGATCTTCTCTTCAGATGTTAATAACGTGTGAAATCCCTGCAGGTCAATTGCTATTTCATGTAACTTCTAAGACATATATTTTTCATATTTAGTTACAGGAGAATAAATATTGTGCAGAAAGAGATCATTTCTTTTGTCTACAGACTGTAGAAACTCCTAAGCAGCACATCTTCACTAGCACACTGCGTGTTCTCTTGTAGTACTCATACCACATATCATCTTACTCCATACACATATGGTATAGCATACTCTAAGGGGTTTAAACTTTTAAAGGGAATTGAGATCCTAGTTAGTAACAGCTAAGAAATACGGGAAATAATGTAAAACCACTAACTGATCTCCAAGTGAACAATGTAATTTTTAAAATTCATATGGAAATCCGACTTAAACAGTGGAGTAGCTGTTAAATTGCTGGTTCTACAGTAATCTAAAAGAGGAAAAAAATGTTATATACCCACATTTTCAGTATGAGCTCATAGCCACAATTAAAATTAAACCAGTTTGGACTTCTGCTTGAGCAGTAGGAGCTGGCTCACTGTGGAGATGTTTATACCTTTATTTTGAAACTACTGATGCAGCCAGCAGGGATTTATTCAGTTACAGAAACTAGCTGCTGCGTCTTCAGAGAGAAGTATTGTCTCAGTGAAATACCACCCTCCTTTTCACTGGCTTGATAAAAACAGGCAACATTCAAAACTTCAGAAAGATATTAATATTTACTGAGAATATAACTGTCATAGTTTCTTACCGACACAATCGCTGTGATGTTAGCAGGCTTCCCTGTCCTCTCAATTACAAGACGTATAACAGTTGTGCTTGTTTCATTAACTACAAATTCTGTTTGTCCGCTGAACCTCACTTCTGTTTCTCCAGATGCGAAATGAATGAGTAACGCTAAAAGCAAATAAACTAGTAAAAAAGCAGAGGGCATCCCTATAGAAAAAGAAAAGAACAATTAAAAATAAATTGCGAGTCTAAAACACATAAAACATTCCTGGTTGACCTTACCCATCCAGTCAACCCTTCTTAGCCCTTCAGATGTGGTGACTATCTTGTGAGCTTCAGAAATTAGATGAAAACATGCACAGATCTCAGCTATAATCAAGTCAGATAATGTAATTACCATCTACATCTAATTCCATCTTCATAATTTTCATCTAGTGATTTTCTAGACAGTATTTATCAACTTTTTTCAAGCGGAGGAAAACTTTCAAGAAAGAAAGTAACTTTTCTTAAGGAAAAATGACAACATTTCCACAATTGTTTCCATTGTCAACCAAGAAATAATTAGCTTAAAGGCTGACAGTTTTATTTCCACTTTATTTGCTCTCTTGATTCTCTTTAGAAATAAACATGAATTGGCATGAAGGGTGAAGGGTTGGATGCTTGCAGCCATCTCATAGACTATCTTCTGGCAACTTATGGACCATGAAATGTTCTTAAATATTTGCATATTTAGTCGAGATTCTTTTCACTGCTTCTCTTATCCCGTGATTCTTTCATGTTTTCTTGTCATGAAGAATCACTGTGGCACATTTTAATGCCATTGTAACCTTTGTACAGCCAGACCTTTATTTTTATTTGTTTCTGCACAATGTCTAGTTTACTTTAATGTTAGGGTAAGACAACTTAAAACTAAGGTGGTGTATTTCTCTTACATCAGAGTCTAGTTATGTAATGTAAAATACAAGTTTAGTAGAGTCATCAGGTGTTGATACTGTGAGAGACACGTTTTTACGAGGCTCTGGCACAACAAATTGGAAACAGCTGCTATGTTAATCAGACTCTCATGGTGTACAGTGCTGACCAGAGGGGAGAACTTGGACGAAGCAGATTCCTGTCATAGGGATCTGAGAAATTTTTTAACAAGCCACGAGAACAAAGTTGTGCTCTAAACACTAAACAGCATTACAGCATCGATTTTTAATGGAATTCATTCTTTCAGGAAGTTTATTTTAATCTGTAGTCACTATTTTATAATGTTACTTTTTAAAATTTCTGTACAAATTATACCAACAATAATTTTGTAATTGCACATGTAAATAAAATTTCACTTTGCTAAAATTATACTTCGGAGTGCTATGACAAATCTGGTCAATTATGGTTGGATAAACTGTGCAGGACATATTACATTAATATTTGCATATCAATAACATTTAAGATCAGCCATGCTTGCAAAGCACTTGTTTTCATTACTTATGAGTGACAGTAAATTAATATTTAGTCATAAATGATCACTGAAACAGAAAACGTCATGTGTATACTGAAACATATTTTTCCAAAGTGTGTGCCAAATTTGTAATCAGAATACAGTGACTTGAAGTCCAGTGCAGACTCTGAGTGTTTTATGTACTCAGTCAGGTAGCTTTAATTTTGCACTGATCAGAGAATAAGATAGCCTTCAGATCACTAAAATTAACACAGCTTCAGAAAGACTTTAAGACTTTGAGTCATCTTACAATAAATTCTGTCTGGGCAAGGGTTAATTTTATGTTGTGAGGACATGAAATAAACTGCTTTCAGGCAAGTTAAAGAACAAAAATTATCCACAGACATGACATCAAATAAATTGGAAGTACAGTCAATAAAACTGACAGTGTCTCTCAGAATTCCTACAAGCAAAGACTGGTGGAATGACAAAATTAGCCAATTTTAATTACTTGTAGTAAAATATTCACCTAGCTCTACCAAACATCTCAGAGGGAAGAGGTGAGCAACAAAAGTGCAAAAAAACATCAGGACTAACCATTTTCCCTGTGAAAACAACTATCCATTTTACAACTTATTTGAACAATGTTTCGTTATTTCTAGCAAATTTCTAGCAGTAAAATAATTTTGCTGTAGAACTTAACATTGCTGTAAATTTTTATTACCATGAACACAGTCCTCCAAAGATATCCATCGCTCTTATTGAGAATTCAATGTGTAACAGACTTTCAGGAACAACGCTTGCTTCCTACATATCTATCTACTTAATAATTCTGGTGCAGAAAAAGCTTAAAGTAGAAAGTAAATATAAAATATAAATATAAATATATAAATATATTTATATATAAATATATAAATATATAAATATATAAATATATAAATATATAAATACATAAAAAAAACCCATGGGATTTAAAACTGTCAGCAATTCCAAAGTTGACTACTAACTTGCGAGTTGCTTTTGTTGTTTTTATGTAGAACTGCTCTGAAGAATACAAGCCTTCAAGCTGGAAAGAGAACAGTTGTCTAACCTTTGTAAACTCTGAGACAATTACACTGTCTGCAGATGCAGGCATCATCCATACTAAACTGAGGAATTTGTTGACCTTTTAGCTTCAGCTGTTACCTTGTCATAGGCTTCACAAATATCTTCCCACGGTACATGCTTCTAGTAAATAATACTGAAAACATGATCCTTGAGGGCAAGATTACAAAGTTTAGAATTACTTGAATTCTATTACTTCTACTAGAGAGCATTCTAAAACTATAGGATTACTTCTGTGGAACAAGAGAAGTTTCACAATCATACCATCAATTATTTAGCTGGTGTGTATTCTTCCTTGTTACATTATTTGTACTAAGATTTACTTTGCACGGCCTGCCAAAAGTAGTTTTTACTCTGTTTATATAAACTCAACTTTGAAAATCGTTATTATTTTAAAATATTTATGTAATATAGTAAAAAATAGCATAGATCAAGACTCAGAGAATGCAGAACAAATTTATTTAAATAGCTGAAAATGTATTACTGGTCACAGTATTTTACTCTGTTAAATATGAACTCACTTTGTACACTAAAGTCCTACATTAATTTATATGGGAACACAATTTGTTCCTCATTAACTGCATTGCATAAAGTTCAGCAAACGCCTTTAGATCAGGGACTAAAAGACAACCCTTCCCCACCTCTGTCACCCCAGTATATCTTTGTGAGGTTTAGGGGTTTTTTTCCTAATGAAGCTGAAACTCTAGTCCTTGTTGACTGCTAAATTTTGGTAAACTACATGTTTGGTGAACCAAATACTCCCCGCTGTTTCAGCCAAATATAACTGAGTTCAGTTCTCTCAATGCAGGATATTCAGTCAGGATTTAAAATAGATTAATGATCCAAAGTCATTTAAATGTTTCTGAAACACCAACAAGCAACGGAGTATTATATATCTTCAGAGTACGTACAAGTCAACAGACCAACTATTCTGTTACTATGTTCTGACTAAAACCATTTTGAATAATGATTTGTACTATCAGTTTAAAGCAATGTTATGTACTGTGGCTTAGGTGATGTTTGTTAAGGGTTTTATTATAAAAGTTTCTGGCATCAAGAACAACAAAAAACGAATCTCTCAAAAAGTTATCCGGACATTTTAATGCTATTAAAGAATCTTAAGAGCCTAAATATCACATTTTTCAGTCATACGATTAAAAAAAAAAAAAAAGCGACTCAGAATTCAGAATTCTGAGTCATGCACCCACCCTAACTAACGTTTTCTTTTAGTCTTTTATGGCTCTCTGAAGTGCGTTTGTGTTTCCCCTGAAAACACAGAACACTCGTGTAGAGCCCAGCACAGCATACGCTGATTCCACACAGTAATTTCCACAGTCATGTCACAAATGATCCGAGGAATACCATTTCAATCTATTGCCCAGCTGGAGCCAAGGAGAGGTAGCCTTATGAAACTGGCATTTCTCGTAACTGATGGATCACTGGTATTAGTTTACTTTTTTCCACTCAGTTTCAGGAACAAATTTCAGATGAAGGTAAAGTTCATAAAGAAGGAGTGATATTTTTCTGCAGATTTTTACACTGGCTTCTGTGCCTAATAAATCAAACTCCTAAAGGATGAAAAGATCTTCTGGCTGTTTTCATTGGAGGGTGAGGGAACCTACAGACTAGCAGCACATGGAGAGGTCAGGAAGGGAAAGGGCTGTGAAAGGTTCCAAATCTGAAATGAGTGTAAAACACCAGATATGGAATGGAGAATGGCAACAGGGAGGGGAGTTCCTCACAAAGGAGGTGGAATGAGGGATTAATGTACCTCAGAGTTGCCACTGCTGCTCGGGAGCAGAAGCAAGCAGGTAGCTGGGGCAGCACCCCTCCCACCCAGCAGCTATAACTCGATCACCCCCTCCCACCTTCGCACAACTCGTCACAGATTTGTAAAGCCCACGGACGCAGCGCAGCAGAGCAAGCGTAAAGCCTAGTGCACTTTTCACTGCCTGTCCTTGTCTACTCCCTGTGATTACAAATACCCAGCCAAGTAGAACATTCAAAAACTGGCATGCCTAGTACTTTGCATTGAGTACAGCACTGCAGCCATCAATGGTTGCCAGAGAGAAGTCTATTCACAGCAGAGATGTCAGCACCCAGCAGCATCTTTGGCTGAATACAATGGGAGAGAGATACATGTGCTCTTTCATATGTAAAGAGGATATTCTCTGTAGTACACAGGGACAGCACAGAGCAAGAAGTTTCACAAGGCCATTGCCCCTGCTGCACCTGTCGTAGAACCCGATTAAAAACCTGCATGTTTTCAGCATTTTTATTTCAGGCATTCCCAGAACCACTGAAATCTACAGCAGTATTGGAGAACAACCTAGGAAAGCAGCGAGAATTATAAAAAACTTTGATTTACTAAACTTCTCCTTTCTACGTTGTCATGATCCCAAATTAAGAAAGAAATATTTTTATTTCAGCCTGGGGTTTTCTTTGCCTCAAAGTTCCCACATAAGCAAAGGAGGACACAACAGCTGTGACTGCAAAGCTTAGCATTTGGGCAGTAGGTATTACCCATGTTGGTTGTCGTTTCTTTTTTGGTTTGAGCTTTTTTGTCTGAATGTGGGATACGTAAGCCTCTCACTAATAGAGAGTGGAAAAGAGAGTGTTCTAAAGGTACTATTTCAAAATAATATCTTCCTACGTTACTTTTTTTGCCTTCAAATGGCTT